AGGGAAAGATAGGAGGATTCTACAGACAGTCTTTCCTTCCTTTGCATTTATCTTCTTTTATCTTTACTTTATATTTTCTCTTTCCCAACTGTTTTGGAAAGAGAAGTAAGGAAAACAATCTAGTCTTTAATATTTAGATTAGGACTACAAAATCAAAGTTCTGTATTTCTGCAACAAACACTTCAGTACATTTCAGATCTTTTTGGAACTTGATCTTTCTTACATGAAATTAGAGGTCTTCCCACATATTTCAATGGAAGTGGTACTGATCTTTTAATCTGCTTACTACTAACTATTTCTTTTCCACATCTGAGTAGTGACTGTGAATGATTAAATGTTGGGATGAAAATCCATACATTTAAAAAAGAAAATATTTAAAATTCAGTGACATACAGCTTTACTGATTCTGTATATCAAGACTGCATCATAGGTAATGCAGTAACAACGTAGCATATATTATGTCAATATTACAAAAATTTGCAGTACAGCATTATATTTTCAGTTGCAATGACGTATAACTTTTCCTGTTAAAATAACGATCTCATAGAACCACTGAAAATTAAATATAAGCTCCATAGTATATAAAATTCTTTTCCTATTTTTAACTCTTCACACCTAGAGGCCAGTGTACCTATAGGGCAGGCATTATTGCCTTCCATATAATTGTAATTGGTGGGAGTTTGACACACTCAAATAATCCTAAATATTTCATGTGATAAGCAGCCCTGTAAACGGAAGTGAAATTATGAGACTGTAAACTGAGGTTTTATTTGTAGGAATAATAAAATTAAAAGAAAATTTTATTTTCCCAACTGACCCATTCAGTGTTTTCACTAATTTCCCCATTTTTAATGTTAAGAGCTTTCTTTTCTGCATTATAGAAAAGAAATGTCACATAATTTACTTGTGTAGGCAAAATGTCTGTGCAGATGTGCTCCAGGTATTTAGTGATTCCTACAGCTGTAAGATTCTGGCTTCCACATACAAATGCATCATGTCTTCTGCAAACCTGCCTTTTGCAGTCAGAATGTATGGCACAGATAAAAGCAGTTAAGACTGCCTGTACGCCAGTGATATAGTAGGATTGCCAGATGTCTGTGATGAGTTTTGGCAATGAAAATTACTAATGTAGACATCTTCCAGAATTTTGGCCAAGGGCAAACCCTCATGCAATAATTTGAGCTCTGAGAATGCAGATTGTAAACCATCCATTCTTGAATCCAAATGGTCAGCAGTGTAATACAGGGCTACATTCTTTGCATTCCTCCCCATTAAAAAAAGCAATAAAAAATGCAAATTCACTGCATCCCAGTAGCATGATATACTATTTTGTCCTCACTATTCTGCATGTTGAATCATTTCTCACATGTCATCAAACAAGTATCGCAAAGGTAAATCCTCAGAGTATTCCCTCAAATGACTGCTTTATTTATTTTACAGGTTATTTGTGAAATCCTAGCAATGTGCACACAAATGCAAACACAGTCATCTTTTCCTTGTTTTCTTCCTGGCTCATCCTGTGACTCGTGCTTAAACTGTAAAAGCTTTGGAAAAGTTGGCATGAAATAAGTAACCTATCACAGATTTACATGAACCAAGACTCCTTCAGTCATCCTGGCTGTGCAGAAAGGCCTTACAGTGGGCGAAATAACAGCCTCCTTGGCTTCCTGTGACTGGTGTAAATGGCTGTATCATGACATTTCCAGATTGTAACTAAGATGACAGGGCCAGGGGGAAGGAGATGTTTGCAACAGGTGGATTGGCAAAGTGTATTTCATTACTATTATTCTTCCTTACATTACTTTTACTCCCTTATGGGCAGTGGAAATATAGCCATTATAAGATTGCCTTGACTTCTCTGACAGGTATATGCAGCAAATCGGGATAGTAGAGTTTTACACCCATTGCACACTAATAAGTAACTTCTCATGGGAGCTCACTTGCTAATATTTCTCTCATCTTCTCTTCTCACTGAAATTGATGCAGACCACAACCAGAATGGATAGGGATAAAATGCTGCCCAATGAACTCAGGAAAAGTATAAATTGTGATTGCTCTTTACTGTTTTGGCACTAGATGTGTTAATTTTGGATTGTTTCTGCCTATAATTGATTTGCATTTGTAACCTCCAACACCTAAATAGTATATGCTACTTACAAGGATTACGAAGAATAACTTTTAGACAGTAGACAGTTTTAAGCTTCTTAGCACTATTGGGTGCTAAGAAAAACATTTATGTTATAATCACTTGATAAGCACATTAAAGTACAACTCTCTAACTTCATTAGTGGCTCTGATAGCTACTCAATGTCAGTAATTCAAAAATTAAAAAAAAAAATGCTTCAAGATATTTTCAGCTTTAGAAACCAAATCTTTTCATATTTACTTTGATAAACTATTTTAGTATTTTTCTCCTGAAGATACTAAAAATGCAGAGTACCTAAAACTCACTAGGATAGCACATCACAAAACATAATGAAGAAAATTGAATAAAATATTAGGAAAATATAACTTTTTAAGGAGAATGCAAATACAAAAATATATTGTATTCTCATCAGATGATTTCAAGGCATTTTGTAAAGATGTTCCAATAGCATCAGAGAGATGGGTAACACCAGTATGTAGGAATCCATAATTAAAAAAAAAAAAAATATGTACTGTCTTGGCCTAGTTTTTTGGTATGCGGTTTTAGGGGGCTGAAACTTGAGTTATAGATACTGAGTAGCTACAGCTTTGACAAATGCAAGCATATTAATTTTATATTGAAACATTTAACTCTGTTACTTCTTGTGTTGAATTATGCCTAAAAGTAACTAAAAGTTCTTACCTTGTAGCTTAGATAACTCAGCAGCAGAGTTTCAAGGAGACTTATTAAAGCCACAGAAACCTTAAGTGAAGTGATAAAATATGTGTATTAATACTGGCTTCTAAAGTATGTAAGACATTAAGCATTACAATGAAAAGTAAAAGATAATAAAAAACAGCTTTTCTGTGCATCCTCTGAAACCATCTTAGTTAACAGTATTTAGCATGAAGCTTAAACATTGTCATTTTTCTGACTAAAGTACAGGTTGTGACTTGAGTCTTAGTGCTCTTTTCCAAGTATAATACTCCAGAGAGCCTGCAGAGTGGCCTTTCCACTGGTTTTTAGAGAGCTCCATACACAGTCTGCCAGATTGCTTCTCAAATTCCAGTTGCCTGTTCCTAAAAGGTACCAAGATCTTTTCACAAGAGAAAGAGAGAGATGGAGGAAACTGTAAATAAAGAGCTGACTACTGTCCGTTACTCTTCTGTAAAGATGATATGAATGTGTGGAAAAACAGTTTTTTTACTGTGTATAATTCATAAAGTTGAAAACAGCAAAAACTATACAGATGAGTCATTATTTATTTTAATATTTAAATGCAACTAAGCTCAACTATCAGTCTTCATGTAGATTATATGTAGTTAGTGTATGTATTATGTAATCTAAAAATATTTATATACTCAAATATCAAAATAGTAAAAAATTTACTTAATTCTTATTAAATAACCACAAAACTTACTCAAATCCTTTGCATAGCAAATATTTGTATTTTCATGTATATTGTGGGAATATTCTGTCAAGAAGGTGTACAAATTCAGCTGAAGCCTGAAGTCAAACAAGCCTCAGGATTTCTAATTTTAAACTAATGCTCACTACTACTGAAAACTCAGAAGAGTGCACTATTTGCACTCACAATATCATTATTTAAAATTTAAAAAGATGCTATGAATTGGAAAATTATTAAAATAATCAAAATATGATATCAGTTTCTCCAAGTACCTACTTTGAATGCATGTGTATGTACACATGTATACATATACACATATGCATAAATTCCTATGGTTATCAGATAAACTTATTACAATAAGAATGTAACTATAAGCAAATAAATCTCTCAGTATTTTTTAATTAAGCTGAATGCAGTATTCTGAATGCCTAGTCAAAATATATTCAAACTGTGCATACTATAAGCAAGGAATTGTAATGGTATTTTCATCGAGGGATTCTTCCCTTAGCAAGATAGTACATACCATAGAGGTACAAACAATTGTAGTGGCATTGCACTAAGCATGGCGCAAGAATATAAAAGTATAACCATACTGGAAGCTTAAGGAATTCTTAGTAAAAGAACACATTTCACACGGAGAATTCCCACAGCACTCTCCACAAGTAAAAAAAAAGTGTTCCTAAAATAAGCAGGCTCCAGGACACTGAGGATTGAACCACAAACTTCAAAAGATCTTCAAGACCCACAAAGCACTGATGTAGTCCATGTTCTATGATATACTCCTCTAAACATGTAGGCTTCTGTATTTTAAAGTGACTTTAGCTTTCTATTTTATTTAACAAGAAAGCCCATGGAGCCCATCAAAAGCTAGCCATAAGCTATTATGAAATTTAAACTCCTCAGAAGAGCAAACAATGACTACTTGACTCAACAGAGCTTGTTAATTCAAAGGGAAAAGGCTAATTCTACAGTATTTTGTTATAAGCTTTAATACTTTATAAATATATTGTAAAGCCATATAAATTCCAATCAGCTCAAATTAGCTTATCTTTACCTTATGATTTTGTTGTATGTGGTCATCGAGTAGACTTCTTTGTTATTGTCAACTTTTCCAAGTATCCTTTAACATTACTGAAATTATATAAATCAATATTGTCTACAGTTATTAAATGGAAATAGTTAAATCGGCCATACCTGTAATCCCCATAAAGGCAAGCTTCGATTCACCCAAATAATAGGAGACCTGTTCATTATAATAAGAAAATATATATTAAATTAATCAAAATCTGGTTAGTGTTTTGAACAAAATCAAGACAAAAAAATTTTGTACATGTGAATGAAAATTAGAGCAGCCTTATTAAAAAAAAAAAATCTCAGTAATAAAAATTTTATATTGGTAGTTATCTACTGAGTATTGACGTTGCTTGTATTTCTAATCCAGAGCCAATCATTGAGTTCCTGTGTGAGTAATTCAGCACCCAGTGACACCAAGATCTTTTATTGGCTCCAGTGGTGGCTACTTCATCCCCTATGATTTCAAAAAGAATAAATCAATTTGAGCTTTTGATTCTAGAGATGCAGAGGAATAATTATTTGTGGCAAGAAAAAGAAACTTGACAATTCTTTTGTGTGAACTTTTTGTTATCTGTGTAATGATATAAATGGTATCTAACACATAAGGGCTGCTGTAACTCAGAAAAATCTCATGTTGTCTTAGTATTTACTAAACTCAATGATAATAGGTGCTTGATACAGTACTACGGGAATCTGGCACACTCAATGGCACAATAGTTTACTGTTAGTCACTTACTGCTTCTTATAATTGTTTTTTAAATAAGGGCATCCTTTTTTTTTCAGCAAGGTATAAGCATTGATGGAATTCAGCTCTTACAAGAGCATCCAATCCAGCAGTTCGCTTATGCAATCAGAGAAACAATTAAAATATTAAAGGCAGTTTTGAATATTCAGGAACATGGAAGTAATTGCTTGATAGTTGTGTAAACATCAATATAATATGTTAAAATGTCACCATTCCAGATGGAAATTGATTTGTCTTCCTGTTTCCTTCCCACCATTATGTGGACTTTTGGTTTTCTTTTTTAAATTAGGAACTCACCAATCAATCGTTCCAGGTGTGTAGTTTTGATTGGAACAAATCCGGTTTAATTCCTTACTGATAGTTGTCATCCCATCCATTCAAAGTCCATTTTCATTACCAAATGTATATGGGAACACAATCATAAAAACATATGGGAGAAAAGGGATATTAATTACATTATTAAGTGTTCTTATAAAATGCATGCAATGGTTTGAAACCCTAGGCAACAGATATAGACATTTTGAAAAGTAAAATAACTTTTAGAAAGTAGTTCCCTATGTGTTCTGTATCTGTAGATAAAGAACTATGAAGCATTTCAATTTACATTTTTTAAAGATTTATTTTCAAACGCTCCACTTTAAAAACAAAACAACTGAAATTATACTTTCAAAAGCTGAACTAAGTACACAATAAATATTTAACATCAAAAGATACTAGTAATCCTATCACATGGATAGGCTGGGATAGAAAGAGTACATATACCTGCCATACTCGCAACACGAAAGACTGCATCAAACTACACTTTATATCCTCTTGTGAGGATGTGAGGAGGGATGGAGATTCATGCAGCAGTAATTGAAGTAAGAAACTGATGACACCTATGTAAAAAAATAGCTGCTATGTAGACAATATTATCTTGCCTTGAATTGCTAGCACAAATTCTCCCTTCAAATGGTCATGTAAGGATATGGGAATATATATTTGTGTAAATGACGGAAAATATCCTTGTTTATCTTTGGCAAGCAAGGTCAGAGGAAAAAAGTATTTGCAGACCACAGATTAGTAATAGCTGTATTTTTACCAACTATGAGTGGACAGGGGCTAAATGGTATCCATTAATAAGGACGCTTTATGTCTTAAGCTCTTCCCTGTACACTCACTGTACCTGAAGGAGTAAATGAAAGATACTAACTTGTGCAGGTATTTCTGAAAAACAGGAAATAAATCTGCAGGGGCAGTCTATGATGAAAAGCATTCGTCCCAGAAATGTCACTTTAAAAACAATGAGCAGATGTTTTCTGTGGCCATGCTCTCAGAACAGAGAGTAGTTTCTTTCATCAGACTGTAACACAGTATCTGGGAAGGATTTTTTTTTTTCCTAACACCGCATTTGTAAGAATGTATTATGGCAGTAGTTTAGGTATCAAGACCTCAGGATCTCTATGGCAAAACCATTGAAATTAATGGGGTACCATTTGGGCCCGGGGCTCATGTGTCTGGCATAGCTTCTAAGACTGGGATCTTAGTAAGCACGCAGAAGTAACTTAGCTGAAACTTCTCAGCTAGATGAATGTTATACAGAGATAGAACAAACTAGTCTCTTAAATGTACCACAACACGATGTAAGGGAATAATATATATGGAAAAGACAAATACACTCTGGCTGGTGAATTGTTAAACATTTAGCTTGAAGGAACAAACATATCAGGAAAGGCCTGGGGAATTAAGCAGTCTGCAAGATGCAGAAAAATCTTTGCTTATGAATACAAAAGTTTTGAAGTATACTTGTGGCAGAAGTGCTGATGTTCTAGTCTGTTCTGCATACCGAGACATAACCTTGCAGTATAATATGCTCACTTAATAATAAGCTCAGCAACTTCTCCATGCCAGAAGGTATCATTAGCTGTAAAATTTCAGGTCTTGGAGTTGCTGTGCTACTATGCCTAAATTTCTAAGGCTGGATTTTCTCTTCTCCATCACTGTTAAAGGTTTTGCAAAATCTTTACTGCTTTGTTTCCTCCCTACACATTTCATCTCCTTGAAAAGATGTTCTAAGATACATGTGGAGTCAAAAAAAGAGGTTTTTTGCAGTTCTTACTTTTCCAGGGAGATTTTTTTCTAACCCTTTTTCAGATGTTCTAATTTCTTACAATAAATTTTGACCCAAAAAAATTCTCAAATGCATCTTCTGTACTTCCCATTCACACATCCTTCTCTCATGCGCTGTTGAGTAAAGCCAATATTCCATAACTCACTCACTCTGTTTTTTATTTGATTCTGGTAGAAAACAGAATATAGTATCTAGTTAATATAGAATACAGAACATACTATATATTCTAGCAGAATATACAGTATATGTTTTTTATAGTATTACCCTTATTAGATTTATCAGATTTTCAAATAGTAAAATTAGAAGTCATACTTTGTCCTTTGCCTAACATTATGTGAAGAGTGCTATTTCTACCATCCCAAGCTCAGTATTTGTATCTGTGCTTTGTTTCTTTCAGTATTTAAGGCCAATGGAATTAAATCAAGTGAAAGCAAGTAAATGAATAAAATGTGGTGCCAATTAGCATTTAGAATTGAGAAGATTCAATATATCCAGGACACAAATACAACTGAAGTACACAATTTAATAAATTATAAATATAATTTCTTCTACAATTGGTGGTCGATTGTATAACACATGGGGGAAAAAAGAAGCGGAGTACCCAATGACCCATATAGAATACCATACTGACAATTGTAGGTGTGCAAAATCATGCATTATGACCGTAGATGATCATGCGTATAGAATGTAGTTTTAGTCTCCCTCTCTTCTAAGTGTTTAGAGAAAGCAGAGAGCTAGAAAATTATCATCAATGTAATCTGCATGAAAGCTCAGTTTCATGTATTTGTCTGTTTGTTTCTGGAATCTGGGGCTTTAAGTAAAATTATTTAAGTAAAATCCTAAAATTACTGTTGCATAAACTGGCAACCAGATATTTGTAATTTTATTTCTATAAATAGAAACATAAATACGACACACAGAAATGTTATGTAATAATACAACCAAAATATATAAGTCTGCACAACTATATCTGATGCACAGTTTCTGAGCAAATAGCCAGGATTATTTTAGCAATAAAGTGAAAAAGAATATTATTATTTTGGTTCTTATTTCCATTCACAATGTAAGAATAGCTTTATAATTCTTTCAAAACACCTGTAAGACATAAAACCAAATCCCTGTTTACAGAATATCAAACATTTATTCATTAAATTAATTTATTTCTTATGAGTTCAACAATGCTTTGAGAACAGAAATTAAAAAAAAAAAAATTACCATCCAAGTCCTTGTGTAGGATCATCCAGGAGCACACGAATTATGTATAAGAAACAGCTTAGTAGCTTGAGAGAAAAATTGAATAATCGTATTCTCAGACCTATTTTAAAAAGAAAAGAAAATACAGAAATAAATTCAGGTTTTTTAGAGTTTCATCCTCTTTTAAGGTAAACCTAAAAGGAACCAGAATAGCCATGCTGCAACAGAGCAAAGGTCAATCTAGCTAGTAACCTGTCCCTGATATGGGCGATTGGTATACACACAGAGGAATGTAAGAATAAGCCTGTCAGCTACACATGTAATCCAAGAAATCTCTGGGTTAAGACTTAGTCTGTTTTAACGTAAAGAACTTTTGTCATTTGTTTGAAAGCTATTCTATGCCATTCATCTTTTCTGATGCCATTCTTCGGGTCTTTTGTAGTTTTACAAGTCCACTTTCTTGAAAGGGGAACCAGAACTACATATGGTATTTGTGATGCAAGATACAGTGACATGAAGAAGACATACTTTGAGCCATAGGCAGAGGATATACAATGGCAAGTATTTAAATATTAATATCTGAAAGTCTTCTGCAGTAGCTTCTCATACAGAATATATTAGTACTATCCAAACTTATAAAATATTAAACTGTAGTTATTTAATGTTGAAGTTGCATAATTATGCATCCAAGAATCAGGACATCTGAAAGTCATGCTGAATGCAGAACTGAACAGAATCAACAAATTGTTCTACAGACCATGTGAATATTGAAATATTCTCGCTGAAAGGATATATCACAAATACTATCACAAACTATTCCAGTATTTCCCACAAACAGGTCTACTGCACAAAGACAAGATTCCTTCAAAGGGATCCACATGGACACTTGCTTCTATCACATGGGCAGTTTATTTCAGTGCTAATTGGAGCCATTATCTACTACAGTTGAACTTAACTATATTTTAATCAGATTTTGCAGTCATTAGAGGATTAGAGTTTAAATTTTCAGCCTTGTTATTAAATTCAATAGTCTCAAAGTTTTGCCAGTGTAAATATTTGTATTGAACTCTTGGTTTTAAGTTTTTGTTCACTAATTATGTTAAAACTGTTGGTTGACTGAGGTTAAGTGGGTGGAGGTCACTTTAAGCATTAATTTTTTCCAGTCTTGTGAACTGACAGTGCAGGTCTGTGTGGCTGAACTCTTCTGTCCAAAGCAGAATACCATTGACTGTCTTACACAGATGTGACTTCATTTGCCCCTAGTTATCATAAGAATAGTATCTTTTATTGCTCTGTTGCAAATATGTTAGCAGGTCTGCTGAACTCAATATAACTACTTCTCTGGTTTAAGAACTACAGCTTCATTATGCATACCCAAAACTGTGTGTATACATTCCCTTTTAAGGAAAGAATCATAATTATCTTATGGTAATATTACGTACTTTTTTACTTTACTCAGTTCTAAGTTCAAAATGAATACCTTACAGATAAAGCTGGTAAATCACCTTTTTATATCTACTAGTTCCCCTCCCTTAAAACACAATCTACAGCAAACACATACAAATAGAAAATAGATTCTTAAATATTCTACCATGCAAATGCTGAAAGAAATCCTAAGGTTTATTACACAACACTGCTTACTATTAACTATGAAGTTGCAGTTATCACATGTGAAGTGGATGGACTTTTACAGCATCTTGTCATCTGTAAACCAGGGGTTAAAATCCTGTGGTCCCAACCATAAGAAGTCCCACAGCTGTTATTGGCAAATAGGTTTGTGACCATTAGCCTAGTGATTCCTGATC